AATCATAACAAAAACAATCTTTCATAATTATTTGCAAATCTACACGACTTAAGCTTTCCAACGACCCATTAATTAATAAAATCGGTCCAGTAGAACTCTAGATTTAGTTGTACAAAGATTTTTAAAACTGAATTATATATAGAATAGATTCATAATTATTTGCAAATCTACACGACTTAAGCTTTCCAACGACCCATTAATTAATAAAATCGGTCCAGTAGAACTCTAGATTTAGTTGTACAAAGATTTTTAAAACTGAATTATATATAGAATAGATTATACCAACAACTAGAAGCAGATATTAATATTTGGATCAGCATTGTTACTCAAGTTTGTATTTCATAAAGTAGATTGAGTATTGTAGTAATAGGTTTTAGCACAAAATACAGTAGGTATTATGATTGTATAAGTCACAGAGTGTTTATAAATAAGTGGATAAATAAGTTTGATTTGATTAACACACTGAATTTAGGTATACGGTATCACACTGAATAACTCATTATTACGACAGTTTCTCTCAGAACTATTATTACAAAGAAAACACCGCTCTGGCGCAGTACAGTTCTGATTTTAGGGGGTAGATTTAAGTGCTGGCGCAGTGAGGGCCTTCTACCTAGACCCTCTGGCGCAGTAAGGGCGCCCCGGTGATAAGGCCCCGGGGTCAGATAGAATTCCTTATGAATTTTTCAAAAATGCACCCGAAAATTTTTTGTTTATTTTATTAATAATCTACAACAAAATTTTAAAAAGTGAAATTGTTCCAAAATCTTTCAAAACCTCAATTATTTTCCCTCTACACAAAAAAGGAGACCTCGATTTAGTTGAAAACTACCGTGGATTATCTTTTATTGATAGCGTGGCCAAAATTTTCACAAGTCTCATAAACAATAGAATACAAACGTGGGTTCAAGAAAATGAAATATTAACGGAATTCCAAGCGGGTTTTAGGAAAGGTTACTCCACCATTGATAACATTTTTAATCTTGCTTGTATGGTTAAGTTACGTCTATCACAAAAAGGGGGGAAACTTTATGCGTTTTTTGTTGACTTTAGTGCGGCTTTTGATACAATCGATCGAAAATCAATGTTTTTTAAACTGTCAAGTTTGGGATTATCGACGCGCATGCTGAATGTATTAAAAAACTACTACAACAACACCAGTTCGAGTGTGTGGTGTGAAGGAGGCGTAACTGACAGTTTCGAAACTAACACAGGTCTGAGGCAAGGCTGCAATCTCTCACCGACTTTATTCAGTTTATTTATCAATGACCTGCCGGAGGCGGTAGGAGGTGGATGCCATTTTGGTGGATCGAAAATAAATATGTTGCTTTACGCTGATGACATTATTCTTCTGTCTCCAACTAGTACCGGGCTGCAGCACATGATAAAAAATTTAGAAACCTACTGTGGGACATGGAATTTAACTGTAAATTTAAATAAATCAAAGATTATTGTTTTTAGAAATGGTGGGAAATTGAAGACGAGCGACAAATGGTGGTATATGGGTAAAATTATTGAGGTGGTAAATGAGTACAAATATTTAGGAATCACGTTCACAAGTTCCCTTTCATGGAGTAATCATTTCAAAGAAAAAGCCAGAATAGGTCAATTTGCTGTTAATTCAGTCTGGAGTGCTTTATTTAAAAACCCAAAAGTACCGCTATGTTCTAAAATGTGTTGTTTCGAAGCGGTAGTGCGAGCTACAATCTGCTACGGAGCTCAGGTGTGGGGATGTATAGAAAGCGATCAAATAGAATCTGTTCAAAAAATATTTCTCAAAAAATTATTCTCTTTACCTTTTAACACACCAAATTATGCATTATATTTGGAAACATGCTGTGAAAAGTTATACTTTTATACTTTGAATGTAAATCTAAATTATTTATTGAAATGTTTAACGTTACCAGCAGGGAGATTGCCCAAAATTTTAGCTAAACAAATTATTTCAAGGAATGTATTTTGGAGTAAAGAATGGAAGCTTCTGGGACAACAATTTAATATAAATATTAATTTTAAAAATGATGATTTAGCGGAGCTTAGCGAACAGTTGTGGTCGGTAGCGGAGGGGCTACGTTGTAGGTGGAGGGGGGAGTGTGTTGGTCGAGCGCGCACCTCCGTCCATCACAGCCAGTTACTCACGCTCGACCTTGAACTTGGAGATAAGAGTCCCCTCAAACTCAACAATACTCGTACCATTTCGTGGATTCTTAAAGCAAGATTAGAGCTTATCAACCTGAACTACAAGCCTTGGCTCAATCAAAATTATAGATGTTCTTTATGTAACCTAAATGAAAATGAAACAGTCTATCATTTTATTGCACTTTGTCCGATTTTAAAACACATAATACATTTGTGGCTGGGAAAACTTTTTTTAAACGAAATAGAATATCATCAATTTATAAATGGGAGGAATTGGCGAGCTTTAGCTAGTTATCTAGAAAATGCTTGGAAGTATAGATGGGAGATAGTGACAGAATTTAACTTTTGAATCTAAATAATTGTATATGAAACTCGTCTACAGATAAGTTAGGATCAGTATGTTTTTGTTTTTTATCACTTATGTAATAATATTTTGTTCTCTCTTATATCTTTTCTCTTATGTCTTTATTTCAGAAATATTAATAAATCTTTTTAGTGCTCAATAGGCCTACTATTCTAATCTTAAGTAATGGAACAACTCTAGTGCCAACAAAACAGACGGTTATTAACCATTGTTTTTATGTGTCTGTGAAAAAATGTATTTATGTTCTAAATTGTACAATAAAGCACATTTTCATTTCATTTCATTTCATTTCATTTCATATATTGTTTTTAGATTGTTTGGAAGATTGTTTTTATTTATAGTTTAAGTAGGTTAATGACAAGAGTTGTTTTGTAAAGCAGAATTGTAAATATCTGAAAAATGGCTGAATAAAGACCATTTATTATTATTATTATTATAACAGGTTTACATATTAATTCACCTTTACATTGCCTAATTAAAATTAGTGTGCATGTAATATGCGTTATATTGTGTACCGTATATTCTCGTATAATCATAATGGGGGCCCCATTGGCAAATTTGCCCGGGGCCCCTGAAGTCCCAAGTCCGGCCCTGACTAACAGTTTAACTGGTTTTTTTTTTTTTTTTTTTTATTAATAAGTAAGTGGTAGCCTAAAATGTTCCTTAACATGCGACATTATCCTTATTTTGCATTATGCATGGAATGTAAAATGGGATAAACCACTATCGAACAAACTAAAATACTATAATGACGAGCATTAAGTATATAAGACGAAAACCCACGTATTGGTTTGGAGTACATCATGCTTCCGACACAGCCACTGACGTAATGAATGGAAAAATTCTAATAAATATTAGCAATTTCTTGCTAGGATTTAGACATACGATTTTAAAAGTTTTAAACTTTTCTTTAATCACACATAACAACAATTTCTACATATATATATATATATGTGTGATCGATAATATTTTCTAACACAACGTCCTATCGATTTTAAAAGTGTGTCAATCTTAAACATTTTACATTGTCTTTGGTTAAACTGAAAAGATAAGCTGCGTTGTGGGAAGGTTTCGCAAGATTTCTCAAGCGTAACAATGGCTGTTGTTCCGAGAAAGCAAACAAACGAGAAAAGCAGCCTTAACAATGGAAACACTGTTTTCAAGATAAGGCAATGGGTTAAGAAGACTAGGAAAGAATTTAATCTTCACTGTCAACTACACAGTTTTATCTCAGTTCTGAATTCATGTTATTTTGATTTTTTTCAATGGAGGATTATATTGAGTCTAAAAGAGACTTATGATTGGAAATAGTACTCATATACAGGATAATTCAATTTTTCTCATACGTACATCAATTAATCGTTCAGTTTCGCTCTGACATCACTTATCTATTTATATACAACAATACATCATGCAATCAACTTAGTTTTTATGTAAAATTAATCCACACAATAAACATTTTAAAACTATACATTTAAAATTGGATTTTCTTTCTATACGTCATAGATTTCGTTGCAGCATGCATTGCCAAAGTTTAATCCCACAAAACAGAATAAGTACATTTGAAAATAATTGAACATTAATGCAAATATAATAAAGGTTCCTAAAGCATAGGAGATTATAAAGACTTGATTGATCTTGAGGGGTTCGGATGACATCTGTCCCTGTGCTATCAATTTACTAATGGAACTTTGACAACAATATGGCGCCTTACAAATAGTTTGCCGTTTGATGCAGTGATGTAATAGCCTTAGTTTAACCAGTTTTATAAAACAATGGAATATCTAATGACATATAAGTCTATCAATTATGTATAGTAAGACGATGTAACACTGTTCCTAAAATGAAAAGAGTTTTTTTAGGATAGATTGTTTCCTAGAACTGAGAAGATTATAATTTATGTAGGTTTTAAAAAACAGGATCGTTAGATAGTAATATTAGGGTTTAAACCATATCCTTACTAAATATAAATTGGCCATTGTATGTTCCAAAGTAGATTGTCATCTTTATAAATCTGTGATTAATAATGGTCAATAAAATTAAATAAAACCAACGTCTGTGTTGACGAACAAATTTATCATAAGATGCTGCTCTTGACGTGTTATAAAAATTTTCATGGATGTAATATTTTCAAAAATCGTTCATAATTACACTATAATTTTTGACAGAACACCATCGTTGATGAATTGTAAACTTGATTAATCTGTGTATCATCATTCGTTACAATTTTTTTGTTGAACGAACAGACTAGCCTACAAATTATATTTTCAAACGGGGCCTACATTTACCTCCCTTGGTAAATGTAGCGCAACCCTTAACTTACGTGTGGGTTTTTTGTTACACTAACTTGACCATAGGATATTTTATGGGTAAATGTAAGGAAAAGACCGAGTTTCTTTTTACAGGAAAAACTAATATAAAACAGTACCTATTTAATTTTGGTTCTCTTTTGTCCTCAACGTGGCTATCCATCACTTCCTTACTTACATGTGCTTACCTGCAAGTGCTATTACTAAGAAAGGCTTTCTCCCGTTGATGTCGCTCCACGGTCCTACAAGCAGGGTGAGGAGGGAAGGTATCAAAGATTCCACCAGAGCCCTCGCCATTATGACGTCAGCTGTGGAGGGTTGTATCAAGTCTTCGATGGTAGCTGAAATCGGCTCTGTGCAGTTGTGATCCGGAAGGTTCAGCTCCACGAGACAGGTGCGGTTCTCTAGGAGGTTTGTGATGACTGTATCTATAGAATGAAGATAGTGAACTTTATATCACATGTTTATGAAAATACTGAAAATTCCAGTTCGTAGTATTCCACAGGCAGTATATTAGATATCTTAGACACAAACATGGCACCACCAACAGCACCACTTAAATTCTACAGATAGGCATATTTTTTCCTTCTGCTATAGACTCGCATCCACGTTTATACATAGGTATTACAATTTGTGTTGTTAAGATTTGTGTTGTTACAATTTGTGTTGTTACGATTTAGTAGAGATAGTTCAGAAATACATAGATAGCGTTTTTAACCTGAAAAAAACTATACATAGAAATGATTATTGTATTCAATATAGGTTAGGTTAGGTTAGGTTACATCGGTTACCTAACCTAACCTAACCTACATTAGGTTACATGACTTATGGTGGGTTTTGAACCACTAGGTCATGACTATAGCCAATGGATTTCAACGTGTGCTGTCAAGAAAATAGTCTCGAGCTTTAACTACGAAGCCTCCTCAAGTTCCTCAAGTTTTAAACTGACAGCAAGTGAACTACGAATTGAAAACTAACAATCCTCAACCAATCTGAACCGTTTGAAATTCAAACTATTCGTATCGATGAATCGGTCATTTACCCCAAACTCCAAACCTCTGACAGCTTGAGCGGCATAGTTAGTTTTTCATTGTAACTACTGCCCACCCGCATCTGTAAGCGAGAAAGGCCAGTTCTGGTATTAAGTTATCTAACTACTCCGGCCAGCGTTGTTGAGATAACTTTGTTGAGTCTGGGTTGAGATTGGATTGACGGTCTGAAAGCAAAGTTTCAGGAGTTCGGAGCAGAAAACTGCATGACACGTATAGTAGTTGATGGGTTTAAGTTTTGATAGCCTAATTATTTTTTTTTATAATAATGATTATTTTTAAGGTACCGGTAATTTAAAATTAGGTATTCTCCAAATATGTATGCATCGTGTGAACAATAGATCGAGATTACTTTTGACTACTTATTTTGATTTTAGTTTACCTTAACTTAATTTTAAGTTATATAATCTTTTGTGGGAGGTCTTACATTGTAAAATATTTACGTAATATGTTAAATATTTATAACAACTTACTAACCTGAGAGTGCCTTTGCCACCAAGTATAAAAACATCACTGGTTCTATGACGTTTGACCATTTTATTTGTGACGTAGACTGATTCTGGGGTGTGGATTTTGTTTCGCTTAAAGCTTGAGCAGATTTGGTGGATGACAGAAGTTCGCTTCGTTCATCTAGAAACTGAAACAAAATATTTAACAAATAAAATACCAAGAGTTGAAATTGGAGTTTATCATGTCATCTTCAGTATTCAATAGTCAGTGATGTGATAACCACTATATTATTTTACCATTTAAAGGCTATTCTACCCTTTAACCTAAGTTCTAGAGGATATGATTCTGGAATAGATCTAGGAAAGTCTCTAAGAGATTAATCATTAGGGAAGAGCTTTATCAATCTTTGCACCTAATTGGATGTAAATCGAACGGCAATAGTATACCCGATGCATTTCTAATCTACGGTTGTAAAATTAAATTACTTACCAAAAATACTTTAGTGTTGGAGAATAAACTTTCACAATGCATTTATCACCGGTATAATTTTTCGAAACTCATATTTTTACATCAATGTTTGTTGTGGGTTTGTTTTGACAGAAGTTTATTTACCGTTGTATTGCGAGCAGCTGTTTTTTTTCGGTCAAAAGACTATTAATACATTGAGTAATAAATTTACTTCTAAATAATGAAGTATATAGACCTACATCTATATAAACAAGCTGTAGACAAATGATTTATTCTAATAGAAAACAGTTGATCAAACCTTTGATAACGTGTACTTTTTAATGAGTCGACCTTAGTTTTGGATAATATTAAAGTTAATGTAACATAATGCTACATTTTGCAATAAGTGTCTCTCTAAGTTACTTATCGTTTAATGTATTCAGCATACTAAGGTATTTATAGCAATACACTATTTCGGCGGCTCAACTCATCAAAGTTTATGATTATTTTTAAACTGGTTACAGTTTTATCGTGTGAATAGGATGTGTACATTTATTTATTCTGAAAGTTAACACACTCTTCGGACAGAATCACGCCTTAGGATTCCATTTAGATGATCCATAAAAACGGTAAAGAAGAAAACATGGTTAGGCAGTCTTTAAGACATTTGCTGGCAATCAAAATCTGTGACGGTAACATTATCCGTCGTTTAGATGAGCATCTTTATCTAAAAAGAATTCATTGCACACAGCAAATATGGTACTATTTGAATCTTGTGAGATGAATTAATGAAATGTTCCTATGCTGTTATGATTTTATTTGAGCTGTAACAAACAGGCATTATAAAACATTAAACATCACTTTCTGTCAGCAAACAGTCTAACGTCAATAGATCCAAAAACCTCTACAGATTGTTAGGCGTGGACTAGAGATAATAATAAGCATTTTTTAAAGATGTAGAAGTATATGTTCAACATACGGTTACGTATTCAAGTATATGATAGGTTCTTTTGAAAAGTGCTTTAAGTAGAATGATCAAATTATCAATTTGGTTCAATGATTCATTTTAACAATTTGCCTTTGATACGGAAGATTACTATTATCTCTCTACTTGACACAAATAATTGCAACCGTATCTTAATGAATACGATTGTGAGCACGTAAGACCAATTGTATTTTATATTTTCATTGATGAGCATTGTAGGCTTAGCTCAGTTTGTGTTATGTCTTTTTCTTTTCATAAATGTCTATAGCGGGATTTGAATACAAGTCATTTGGGAGAAAGTCTCGCATTCTACCAACAAGCACCCACATCCCAAATAAACAAATAAAATATCCTACCAACTGAAAAAGAAAGGGAATTATTCAATCCCTTTTCTCTCAGTGCTTTTTGGCAATTTCTTGTACAACTATTAACTATATTCAATCCTCTTTTGACTCCTAAAAGTTGTATTTTGATTATTCAGTAGTCCAATCGAATTACAGTACTGAATTACTCGATTTAAAAAGCAGGGAACTTTTATTTTAATTCATTTATTGGACAAAGAAGTCTAATAAAGAGTCAATTATTCCATATTTTTCTGACCATTATCAAAGAGTTATTACTATTAAAACAACGTTGCTTGATTCTAAGATACCGCACAAGTTATAATTAACAAAATCCAACTGAGATTAATCCGCTTGTTGGGTGAAGATAAAAACTTCATTTTTTACCGGGTCGTTAACATCGCTTGTTAAAAACACATATTGCCTTGAGAATTCGGCAGACTGATAACTGTTTACTAATCTTCTTTGTTCATTGACACTCATAACACTAATGTAAGTGAATTCCCTTAGGCTTATCCCACGTTTTGTTAACAAGTCAACGACACTCTTATAGATATAAAAGCTATAAATCCTGGACTACAAGCTCTACATTGTATACCAAGTACCCTGTACTGTACCTTGTATTGTGTACAAGGTCACTATAACATATTTCACTGCCAGATATACAACCAAATTACTGATTTTGCTTTTTCTATAATAATACCAGCAAATAACCAGGCGCATAATGTATAATTACTACAAGATATTGTTAGTCATCAGCGTAATCCTAGCCACATGTAAAAGTACATATAAAAAAACTTCAGACTTTTTACAATGGTATAAAAGGCCTGCTTACATTCCCAATAGGCCTACTTTAATTCATGTTTGTCATTCTTGCTTTGTAAGTCCAAACATAATTAGGAATATAAGTAAAACTATATATTCAAAATGAATCAGCAATGGTCAGGAGAATGATTTTTTTCAATTTATAGATAGTTTACCTTTTGTATTTGACTACATGTAAAAAGTCTATGGTAAGCTAATAATTATTGGATTGACATTTCAAATGTAAGCTACACACATTTAATTTGAGGGCAAATTACGCTAAATCCCTATAAGACTCCAACACGTTATATGAAAATTGTAATTGTGATTTCAACATAATGGTAATCTGCAAGTACAAACCTGACTAACTTTATTGTTCAGTATTTACATTTTTAAACGCAATTTTGTATAAATTTATAGCATTAATATAAGACCTAGTTTTTATAATTTTAACAATAAGGTTAGTTGTGTTTTAACCTTATATTGTTCCTTCTTAAGTACCCTACTTGGATTTATCAAAATCTTTAACAACATACATAAATTAAGGAGCTAAACAATCAAACAGTGTCTATGCAAACACTAGACTTGTAAATTATTCGCACAAATATCACTAGCATAGGTTTAGTAGTACTGTATAACAGTGCTTAATTTGCAAAATCGATGAATTTACAGAAATAGTGCAAATCTACTAAAATAACAACTTACCTGTACTTCAGCGGGGTATACTAGAGTGAGGCAGTTTCTCATGTCGAACAGCTGTTTTCAACTCTACCATAACACACGCTTAGTTGATCAGCTGATGTCAACTGTCAGCTGGGACTGTTATCACTATCAGCACTGCCTTATGGCTCGGCCTTGACCTCTTGCGGCTAGCTCGCTTTGTAACTTCCCGTTAATCGTAGACATTGCCTTTGTTTGGCAATTATTAATTCATTGATTGAAATAGTGGTAACAGTAGAAAACTATTTATTCGTGCGAAAAGTGTGCAATGCTAAAATATTGTTTTATACAACGAGAAAATTATCTTAGATAAGATAGGCGTGACTAGTCAAGTATAATGTCCAAGTCCCGCCAGTCACAAAAGACATAACAAGGTGATAATTGGTCGGAGACTTCCTTAAGAACCTTTATATATCACTTTTTTTAGCGAATTTCCCTATAGGGAAGTAGCTATTACCGTAGGTGGCACGGTAAAACCTAGACCCGGGACCGATTTACTTTTTCATTTTGATGTCCCCAGAGGCTAAAAACACTATTCGTTCAAATTTTTATATATGTATTTATATATATATATATATATATATATATATATATATATATATATATATATATACGTCCGTGAACGCGATAACTTGAGTAATTTTTGTCCGATTTTGATGAAATTTGGTTTAAAGGTGTAAAGCGGGATAAACTTGAATGAGTTCGCGAACCAGCACGATCGGACCATGGGAACGGGGCTTTACGGGGGGTTTTATGGGGTAAAAATTGGTTTTTCTCCCTTTTGACCGTCGAAACACAAAAATTCCCAATTTCTATTTAGACCTTTTTAAAAAGCTTAAAAAAACAAATAATTTAGTATATAAAAGTATTTTTTTTCGATTATTAGTAACGGAGAAAATTAAAAAAAATTGTAAATTTAAAATTCCCATGTTATTCTTATGGAGAATATTGTCAAATGTTGTAGTTTGCTTGTTTATGGATATACTAGCTGTACCCGCGGGTTTTGCCCCGTTTAACTTCATACGTGAGCTCGTTCGCATGGCTCAATCACGTCCTGGTTGAAGTTCGTTCGCTACGCTCACTCACCTTTGGGTTGGAGCTCGTTCGCTGCGCTCACACGTCCTGGTTGAAGTTCGTTCGCTGCGCTCACTTGCCTTCAGGTTAGCTCGTTCGCTACGCTACCTCGCCTCCGGGTTGAAGTTCGTTCGCTACGCTCACTCACCTTTTGGTTTCAAATTAGCTGTTGTCAAATATTTAAAAAAATAATAGTGCTGAACTCTTTTGGTAATCCTTGTAACTTTAATGCTATTGAACATCATAGAACAGAACCAACTTGTTTAATTGAAACAGCTGTTATGATTCATTAATTCCATTTAAATATGAGTACTCATTAGGTTAACATGGGATAGTCCAGAGCCACTGGGGCGGAGCCCGAGAGTCCGATCAGAATCAAAACCACTTAGTTTTCCTATTTAATGCCTAAAGAATCAGTGTACCAAATTTCAGCCTCCTAGGTAAGTGGGAAGTGGGAGAATTAGTGATGAGTGAGTGAGTCAGTCAGTCAGTCAGTCAGTGAGGGCTTTGCCTTTTATATATATAGAAGATTTTGATCAAACTAGGCAAATATATTTATTTTGTACTAAGCTATCAATATTTTACTCAAAAACACACTTTATTAGTTTCCTTGTAGCAGCAAACCTAGGTACTCGTTAAACCTAATGTTATTAAAATATATTTAACTGAAAATCAATTCAGACAAATGGAAATTCGCTTAGTCGGCAGGTTTGCTGCGGCGGGGGTATCTAATGTAACGATAGTTTTCATTAGCACATATGTCATGAACATGAACCACACTCATTTAAAACTGGCTACAGCATTAACGTGTGAATAAAATATATAGCTTAACGTAACATTGAAACTGGACGGGCATTCATCAATAAATAGACGTGCCGTGCCCTAAATTGAAAAACAAATCATGTATTCAATCCAAACATAACGGCAGAATTATCAATTATCAATCATTGAGATAGGGACGCGCAAATTTCCAAATAATAATTGCTCAGAGTTTTAAAAAGCAAGCAAGTAATTACTGAAAATGCTCAGTTTAGAAATGAACGAAAACGAAAAGAAATAATTTCCTAATGCAGGACCCATTCCAGGGTAGTTAATCAAATTACTGGCAATATGAAAGGGAAGGGCTGTCTGCCTGTCTCAGTAAAACGGGACGTTAATGGATATCAATTAAGAACGATGCCCATTAAAAGAGCTCCATCGGAATTACTTAACCACGAACTTTGGCCAAACCATTCATCAAAATGCAAAATTATCTTTCAATTTGTGTATCTTTCGTTTTAGCAAATTTGACATTATAGGGAATAAGCTGTTACTGTAGGTCTCATGATATGCCCTAGAACCGGGATTAAATTACTTCTTCACTTGGATATCCTCAGAGCCAAAAACAAAATCCGTTCAAATTCATATGTAAATATGTCTGCCCGATGACCCAATTAAACCCGATGCCTGTTAGCACGATGACTCAATTAAAAATAATCTAATAAGAACAAAATTTGGTAAAAACGTGTAAACCTATATTTATTCGAACTTAATTTGCTTAACAGCTGTTTCAATTAAACAAGTTGGTTCTGTTCTATGATGTTCAATAGCATTAAAGTTACAAGGATTACCAACAGGGTGCAGCACTAGCACTATTATTTCTTTTACATTTATGACAACATCTAATTTGCAACCAAAAGGTGAGTGAGCGTAGCGAACGAACTTCAACTTGGAGGCGAGTGAGCGTAGCGAACGAGCTAACCTGAAGGAAAGTGAGCGCAGCGAACGAGCTCCAACCTAAAGGCGAGTGAGCGTAGCGAACGAACTTCAACCAGGACGTGATTGAGCCATGCAAACGAGATTATCTTGAAAATTAAGAAGCTAAACGGGGCAAAGCCCACGGGTTACAGCTAGTACTATTATAAAAAAGAGGTGGTTGCTGTATGTGTGTGTGTATGGGAAAAGTAAACGCGAAAAATACTGGTCGGATCGGGCTGAAATTTGGCATGATGATAGCTCACATTCCCGATTAACATATAGGCATATTCTTATTTCAAAAATCCTTTCGGGCTCCGCCCCAGTGGCTCTGGAGTTTCACATGTTAACCTTATGAGAAATAGAATTATTGAATCTTAACAGCTGTTTCAATTAAACAAGTTGGTTCTGTTCTATGATTTTCAATAGCATTAAAGTTACAAGGATTACAACAGGGTGCAGCACTATTATTTCTTTTACATTTATGACAACAGCTAATTTGTAACCAAAAGGTGAGTGAGCGTAGCGAACGAACTTCAACCTGGAGGCGAGTGAGCGTAGCGAACGAGCTAACCTGAAGGAAGGTGAGCGCAGCGAACGAGCTCCAACCTAAAGGTGAGTGAGCTTTGCGAACGAACTTCAACCAGGACGTGATTGAGCCATGCGAACGAGATAATCTTGAAAATTAAGAAGTTAAACGGGGCAAAGCCCGCGGGTTACAGCTAGTACAGATATAAACATACATTTGATTTGGTAAAGTTAATGAGTAAATTTTACCTGAATCTCAAAGTTACAGATTGTTTTATACAGTGTAGTATACACGAAGAAAGTAACACTAAGATAACAAGTATAACACATTTCAGGCACTCAAAATCATTCTTATTATAAAGTGCTGTTAGAAAGAGGCGTAAAAATTTAGTTCAAAATCCTTTTCTTAAAAACTTTATTTGTGAAGTTTTAAACAAACGTAAAGAAACTATCTGAACTTCTCAGTACATCAAAACTTAACAAACTAAAACAGATCCCTCTTAAAAAAGTAACACCAGTTTTGGTCTCTCAAGGAAGTAATAGGTTTTAAAGTTAGTTTAAAATAGTTCACTGGTAAGACACTCAGGACTTGTGATTTTCCTATCGTACTTAAACTCCTAAAACAGTTTTTTTTCTTTACTCATTGGCTAACAGCTCTATTTGTAAGACAGTGAAGCAATTTCCAAAGTAAAGAGGGAATCTTTCGACAAATTGTCAAACTATAAACTTGTAATCACTCTCAAAACTAAAGGTATGTGTTGGCTTGGTTTCCACTCATAATACCTACATCAAAATTACATTTCTAGCTCTTTCAGAATGTCTTCCACTGTTTTCTTCTTTGTCTCTGGTACAACACAGTACACAAACACAACTCCAACCGCAGAACAAGCACTAAAGAAGAAGAACACCCACTCTCTACCGATGGCATAACTGATGTCTTCAAAATACCTGGTGACTATGAACACCCAGAAGAAGTTGAACATGCAAACGATCGATGCAGCATATCCTGCAATTCTTCTCGGAAAGATTTCTCCTAGAAGCACCCAAGGCAGGGGTCCAAATCCTGAGGAGTATGCAAGACAAAATGTGCACAAGAAGGTGACCGGGACCCAGGTTATGTAAGAAACGTCGTAATCTCTGTCTTTCATAAAGAAGAAGGCGCCTATGAAGAATGTACAGATGGACATGGCAAAGTCTGAGAAGAGAAGGAGAGGACGTCTTCCGAGTCTGTCGACGACTGTTGAAGACAAACAAGTAGTGGTGAGGTCAGTCACTCCCATCAGGATGGTCTGGAGGTTGGGGCTCAGGGAAGAACCAGCTTCCTAGAAATAAATTGTCGGTGTAAGAAGGGGACAACAAAATTTAAGGGCATGATTTAAGATTATTTCAAGGTTTGCTTATATTTAAACAATGTTTAAAATGTTAGGGTAAAAACTTTTAACAGTTATTGAATAATTACTTTTAAGAAGATGTATGTATGAGATGTATAAGGTGTAATGTATAAGAATATGTTGTAATCAATATTACGAACTGAGTGTATTTGCTGGTACAGATCTTAACAGTACAGGGAATCTTACTGAAACAATTTGTTCACGGAACACCGTATTTATCACACGATAGCAACCAGAACCAAAATACGATATTTTCGTAGACACTGTATTTACAATACAAATGCAAGTTGCAATTTTTATTTGTAACAAGTTTATACGTTACTTTTATTAAAAGGATAGACAAATAGAGTGAAATAATATGGCTTGTTAGGAGTTATTAGATTTCAAAAGCTAATAAGTTTAATAGTAACCCTACATGTAGCCAATCTATTCGTTTTACTTACTAGGACTATGGTTTACTTTTACTAACCTGAAATATAACATTGTTGTAGAATATTATCCCACTAGCTCCACTGAACTGGCGAAAAAACATCACTCCCATGCATATGAGTAAACCCTTTTTGGCACTCTTTGAAGAAAATGCTTCATAAATAGTCAGCTTGAGAGCTTTTGCCTGAAAAATATGTTTGCTTTTATATAAGCTCCAATCTTGTGTATCATGTCATTCCATTTTTTCTAGGAAAATTATAGTTGATGTATAAAATCTTAATGCACTTGTATTTTATTTTGGGAAATTGATATAGATTATACATATAGCTTTACAGCAACATCAAATGTCAAAGGAACAAAATTAGTATTTGTACTGGTTATACCAAAAAACACCGACACGGAACTCCAAAAAATACCCTCCATTGAATTTGGTTAGAGGAATAAATGTCCCATGCATATACCATCTAGCTTTTTTACTCAAAGATATCATAGCTGAACGAGCTTACTTTGAGCTTCCAATTTTTCCTTTGAGATTCAAATGGTTAAAACATTGATTAGGTAAAAAAATTGCCACTTTTCAAAGTAGCCTATTTTTTACGGTTGATCAATTGAACTTAATTTCTCTTATTTGTTCTTTTTACGGTTGATTATACGAATCAAAAGATCCTAAATAGAAAAAAAGGTACTTATTTTAATATTATTGTGTAATAAGTCTAAAATTTTGAACTTTACCTACTTGAATACATCTCGATATTTACAAATAAAGAGTACATGTAATGACAAAGACGGTGTTTATGCATTATCACCTAAATTATTTACTTCTTCAATATCTTTTTTCTTCCTCGAAAACTCCTCGTCAATGTTGTATTCACTTCCTCTGAACCATTGCAGTGCAGCTTTGGCTTCTTCATCTTTGTTCTTCTGAAGATAGTAAATAGGAGATTCGGGAATAAAAAACACCATAAGTCCGTGAACGATGGGAATCAGTGTACAGAGAAACGAAAGCCAGAAAGATGTAACCTAAAATACAGATTTACAGCTTATAAAATGTTAAAACATGCTAATATATATATATATATATTGTGTAGTAATTTGAAACTTAGCGAAACTGCTTATGTAGGTACACAAAAAACTAATCTTTTGTGAAGACTTTCTTTTAAAAAATCTTTAAAGATACAAGTGGTTTCTTTTATTTATGAACATTATGAGAAATCACTCCGTTCATTCACTCATTATATTACAACAATACAGTTTTATTTGAGCTGCTATAATAGTAGAGAGAGGGGCTTAGGGCTTCGGGCGCCGGGCTCGAATCACTATAATGACATTTTAAAGCTAAGAGATAATACCACGATGGTATAGGCCTAGTCGGAAGTAATGATTTCACACGAGGGTTCAAGTTTTTTTTTCTTTTTCTCTGTAAGCAGCGCACTTTACCAGTAAAACAAATTTTCTCAGTGTGTGCTTTGGGATTAGTATCTCCCTTTCCAACCTTTTCAGATTTTGTTGTCAAGTTTATGGTCAATCATTATTACTCGTTATGAAGTGCTACTTAACACCACAGCAACATTTTTTAAACACTTACCAAACTCCCGACGACGTATGTAAACAGTATGCCGAAAGTGATGATGGTTTGAAAGACCACCCCGAGACGACCTCTTATATTGGTCGAGGCAAGTTCAGCCACGTATAGGGGGATGGTCACCCCGTAGCCACCAGCGCCAATTCCTGTGAGTAGACGTCCAATGCATAACATCGGCACCTGAAAAATCATATGAAAAGGGATTTACTTGGCACTTTTCACTCATATTTAAAAATTACTAGTTTTAGTAGTCAGATTATGAAGTAATGACTTACCAAACGTTTAATGGGAATAATATTTATAAAAAATTCTACCTTTAAGTAAATATTGGTTACATGTTCGTCTCTGAAGGACCAAAATGATAAATTTTGGTTGGAGAAACAACGAATTATAAAAAAATATGTTAGTTTCAAAACAGGCCCATTTTCTTAACGTAATAGTTAAATCTATGTTACCGGTACTACTTATTTTACACAAGTTATCTTAAGGTATTTTTAGTACCACTCGGATTCTTTCAAAATAAATTAAATACCTTACAATATTTTATCTAATCATGACCATTAAAATAATGATAGAAGAGTTAGTAATGGGTGGAACGACATTTTACGGCTAGTAACTTGCAAACCCCAGTTGTTAATCTATCTATACTATTATAAAAAAGAGGTGGTGTCTGTGTGTATGGGAAAAGTAAACTCGAAAAATACTTGTCGGATTGGGCTGAAATTTGGCATGATGATAGCTCACATTCCCGATTAACACATAGGCATATTCTTATTTCAAAAATCCTTTCGGGCTCCGCCCCAGTGGCTCAAACTCGAAAAATACTGGTCGGATTGGGCTGAAATTTGGCATGATGATAGCTCACATTCCCGATTAACATATAGGCATATTCTTATTTCAAAAATCCTTTCGGGCTCCGCCCCAGTGGCTCTGGAGTTTCCCATGTTAACCTTATGAGAAATGGAATTAATGAATCTTGACAGCTGTTTCAATTAAACAAGTTGGTTCTGTTCTATGATGTTCAATAGCATTAAAGTTACAAGGATTACCAACAGGGTGCAGCACTAGCACTATTATTTCTTTTACATTTATGACAACATCTAATTTGCAACCAAAAGGTGAGTGAGCGTAGCGAACGAACTTCAACCTGGAGGCGAGTGAGCGTAGCGAACGAGCTAACCTGAAGGCAAGTGAGCGTAGCGAACGAGCTAACCTGAAGGAAAGTGAGCGCAGCGAACGAGCTCCAACCTAAAGGTGAGTGAGCGTAGCGAACGAACTTCAAAAAGAACCGAAATTTCTTAAACCATGTCCTCACTCATAACTGCTATAAGCATTTGATACTTATATGCCAACCCCGTACGAAGGACGGGTACTCTGCTAGTTCCTTATAAGCAGGACCTTTTAAAAACACTGACGTGGTTTTTAGGGGAAAATCCTATTGCATTAGTTACATGGTGTGCCAATGTTCGGCCCAAAATACACTGCAGGTACAAAATAGACTATCTTAGAAACAGTAATAAATCACTAGTAATGTTTAATAATACTAGCTCATATAGTAATACTTTCTACTCCTTTCTACTCTGAAGAAGTATATTTTCAAAAACACTAAAACGTCAGCATCTTACTAATGACTACTAAATTTTTTTCTCTGGGGAATACAATTATCCTTTTGAAAACCCTTGGAATTGATTATGCGTAACCGTCTTTGATAACCATTTCACATTACAAAGTAAACCAAGAAACCTAGAGTATATATTAACCACGTGGCCTACATTTTGTGCATACGCCATCATCGCATATCCTACGGCTGACGGGACTGCAACTATAGTCATGGTAGTTCTGCGCCCAAGGTGGGTGACGAGCCATCCGGTGAGGGGCGAGGCCCCGACGATGCAGCCCACGGGCATGAGAGAGCCGACCCAGGAGAACTGTCTGATACTGACCGGGAACCCACACTCCTCCCTCTGGGTCAGGGCGAACTCCGAGGTAGAGGACCATCCCCGACACGTGCCTATCATGAAGGCTCCAAGGTTGGCTGCAAGAATACATCAAATTATCGGATGTTTTTTTTTAGGAAGGAGTTTTTCATGTTAGATAAGGTTTTCCGTTGTTTCTAGCTGTCACGACTTCTTTGGCAAAAAAATATCCAATTCATTTACCGCTCGCCCAACTCAGCCAAACCACGCACCCTGGGTACGCTTTTGGAAATATATCTATCAAACGGTATTTTCACAGTTTTCTTTCCACCTGATATTGTTAACCGTTGCATTCAACATCTACCAACCGTATATATGGACTATCTCTAGCCAGTAATTCCACAAGAAAATATATAAAACTACAGAATCAAAATGTGTTAATTGTTCATTTGCATTTCTCTTCAAACAATAGCTGCAATCCTTTTGTTAAATTCGTTTATATTTTCTCTAAATAAATTCAGTAGAACCTGGTAGAACTAATCAATTCCAGTTTGTAAATCATATATACGTCATGGAGTACAGGATAAATTTAAGTTGTTTTTACTAGTCTATATATCTAAATATATATATAGACGAGTAAAATTATATAGTCTATATATCTATATTTTATCATCCATATTATCTACTGGCGTAGGCCTACATCTAAACCAATTAACCTTCAAGGTGTCTTATAAGCGTTCACCTACTTACCTATGATCACTGCCACGCACTGTGGAAGAACAGCTGCTTTATTTTCATTTTCACTCGTCTTGGTTTTCTCTATTCCAATTTTAACCATTTTTACAGCCATTAAACTGACGTAAAATATCTTGTTCCAATAAACGTAATTAAATGTTTGGGGTCTGAAAACAAAAGTTATTGAGTATTAGATTTCGATTTTGAGTATAGATAGATTTTTTCATTCCATTCCAATGTTCAAAATGTTGAACACTTTTGAATAAAAATTTAAGTAGTTGCCTTGAACAACAAACAGAGTTTGCTGATTTAAATTACAGATTTTTGTTGTACCTTTTAACCATCAAACCAAAAGCCAACTTAAACTGTAAGCTTAAATATGATTGTAAATCTTAAAAGAAAAAAATATCAAGGGAGAACATAGATCATTTTACTTTATACCACCATATGTGAGTGTTTCATTTACCTACGTTCTTAAGAAAACCCGATACAACGTACAGGCTCTCCCGCTTTCAGCGTCGAGGTGCCTTGCGAGTTGCTTCCGCTTACCGCACGGTTTCCGAGCCTGCAGTCGTGGTAATTGCCAGTGTCATCCCCGTCTTTCATCTCGCGAGGGAGCGACAGGCGATCTACCGCAGGAGACCTGATACTTCAATGTGCGATACTACCAATTATATGCGATAGAGAGACTGCTGCCAGAGAAGAACGCAACCGCAGTTTCGACCGCTGGCAGCGCGAATGGGAGGCCGAGTCTCGGGGAAGTTGGACCGCCAGGCTCATTCCTAGCATCCGCCCATGGGTGGAACGAGGGCATGGTGAGGTTGGGTACTTCGTGACTCAATTTTTTGGGTCACGGGTACTTTCAGGCCTTTTTGCACAGAATGGGGAAGGCTGCCAGCCCAGACTGTATGTACTGTCCCGGCATTGCAGACACGACTAAGCATACCTTCTTATTCTGCGACAAGTGGCATGTCCGCCGAGCCTCCTGGATCTCCGAGATCGGTGTCGATATTACTCCCGACAACATCGTTGGAGCTATGCTCCAGGGGGAAGGAACCTGGAGTCGTGTAAAGCAGTTCGTCGAGGCCATACTTCGGGATAAGAAGGTCGATCTCGATCGGCCTTAGTTTTCTAAAGAAACCAGAAGGAAAGCCCTAGGGGCGTAGTTAAAAAGGCCTAGCCCGACACTACTGAGTGGCCATTGAGCACCTCAGTGTGCGTAAAGGCATTTTTACCTCCTCCCCATAAAAAAAAAAAATAGCATAACGTACATACAAGCTTTATGTATTTTAAATTCTGATTTACTTGGAATTTGAATCAAAAGAGATTTGTCACGTATAAAGTGGTAAACATTTTAAGATAATCCAATTTTGAGAATATTGAAACGTGGCTACAACATATCTTAATTTTCTGGTATGTTTCAATAATTGTATAACTAAAGAGTAGAGAATAAAGTGTATTTCTTTCTCTGTATACCATTTATTAGAAGACAGCTTTCTTAGATGATTTTAACTTTTCTTATTTTATAGAATTCAGTCAATCAATTCAAACTATTTCACCCCAACAGAAGTATCATTGTCATTAACGTCACAAATTATACCCTTAAAACCCTGATAAACTATATCCTTTTTATACTTCCTATTACATTTCATAATAACCTTTTTAGCTTAATTTTCCACACTGAGTAATTTTTAGATCAATATTTATGAATCCATACATCAAGGGCTAACTAAAGCACAAATATTTAACTCACCTTCATACTTAAATCCAAGCTAAGTACAAAACAACAGATCACTTTTGTGAAGCTAATTATTCTTCCATTAACCGTACAGCCTAGGTGGCTGTTGCAGTAGCCTATACCTGTAACTGATAAAAGAAGTATCGTTACTGTGATAAGAACGCTGCCTCACAATCAAACTTTTTAAACTTTCTTTGTTTAAATTTATTGATAACAACGCATACGTAGCGCATAGGTGACTAAATAGCTAACCGTCTTGGAATATCTATTAGTAATACTACAATAACTTTGCCATTCTTCGGTAGTTTTTCGTATCTATTCTGGGCGGTATTGATTTAATTCATGGTATTTCCAATATCTAACGGTAACCTACTAATGCAACGCATAATTGATTAATGAATAAATCAGTGCATACTCTAATGATTAACTAGGAGCATTTGTAAGATTGTATAGTATGTAAGGTATTACAAAATCTAAGTACAATATATTAAGAAACTAGAAATGTTTTATTATTAAAAACCTCATCTCTACAATCTTTATTTGCATGTTAAATATCCTTTACTATAAATAATTTGACCTTTTAGCATAAATCCACATAGTTTGGTAATTACTTATAACCAATGCATAAAATTAGTAGACAGTATACAATACACATTAGATTCTAAATTGCTCTAAAACCTAGACAGCTGATTTTACAAACTACCCAAACAATAAACAATCAATACTATCATTGGCATTTTTATTTTCAGCTAATTTACAAACGATTACTGTTAGAAGTTTTAGACAGTTTGAAACAGAATAATTTGGAATTTTTAAATAGTTTTTTTTCGTTTATTTTGTTTTGCGTTACAACATTGACTAGTTGGATTCATATAATGGTCAAAGAAACAGGATATTATGACATCCTTGGCGTCAAACCCGACTGTACTTTAGATGAGTTAAAGAAAGCATACAGAAAACTAGCTCTCAAGTACCATCCGTACAAAAACCCAAGTGAAGGTGAGCGGTTCAAGCAAATTTCGTAGGCTTATGAAGTACTGTCAACCCCAGAGAAGAGAGCCATCTACGACAGGGGTGGCGAGGAAGCATTGAAGGCAGGAAGTGGAGGTGGAGGATTTTCCTCCAACCCGATAGATATATTTAACATCTTCTTTGGAGGTGGCAGAAGAGGGCCGGGCGAACGGAAATGTCAAGACGTTGTACATCAGCTCTCAATATCCTTAGAGGATCTGTACAAGGGTTCCACGAGGAAACTGGCAATCGAGAAGAATGTTGTTTGTGAAAAGTGTGAAGGTCGTGGAGGAAAGAAAGGTGCCATTGAGAAGTGCGGAACTTGCGGTGGCTCCGGAATGGAAATCCAGGTACACCAGCTGGGACCTGGCATGATGCAGCAAATACAGCGAATGTGCAGCGACTGTAAGGGCCAAGGAGAGAAGATCCCCATCAAAGACCGCTGCAAGACGTGCAACGGGAAGAAGACAGTAAGAGATTGAAAAGTCCTCGAAGTCCACGTCCTTCCTGGAATGGTCGACGGTCAGAAAATCACGTTTGCAGAAGGAGACCAAGAACCTGGGTATAAACCTGGTGATATTGTTATAGTACTGGATGAAAAGAGGCACCCCAGGTTTAAAAGATCGGGAAGTGACTTGATCTTTCGAATGGAAATTGAGTTGGTAGAATCCTTATGTGGGTTCAAAAAGGTGATCAGAACTCTAGATGACAGGAATCTTCTGATCACTGTCATTCCAGGGGAAATAGTAAAACATGGGGATATCAAGTGCGTTATAGGGTAGGGGATGCCTCAATATCTTAATTCGTCCGAGAAAGGTAAACTTATTGTTCAGTTTATTGTAAATTTTCCATCCGTGCTTCCACCTACTGTGATGGCGCAACTGGAGCAGTGTTTACCGCCAAGGCCTCAGCAAGACGTCCCTGAAAATGCTGAAGAGTGTCTTCTGAGTGATATGGACATGGCCTCCGAATCTAGAAGACGAGCACCCAAAGGACAAGCAAGTGAGTCAGAAATGCCTCAGGTCCAGTGTGCAGCTAGTTGATTGATTGGTTTGACCAGTTGTTATGATTTACTTGGAGTTTCTTGTTGTTACCGTTTTATAATTTTTAGTTCCTTAATAAATTGAGTTTAATAATAATCTTCCAATAATGTCTCCACTGGTTCTTCTTTTATTTACATAACTCTACTTCTGGATAAAATTACCGAACCATGTGACATGAAATTTATGCAGGTTACGAGAATTAATATTTGAAAACTATTTACAATCGTTTGAATAAAATACTCCCGCCGCAGCAAACCTGCAGACTAAGCGAATTTCCATTAACCTGATTAGATTTACACTAAATGCCTCCATAAAAATATCACGTTTATTTCCTATTTAAATAGAATTAGTTTAACGAGTACTTAAGTTTGCTGCAACAGGGAGGGTAAAAAAGTGCTTTTTTTTGTAAAATGTTAGTCGTTTAGTAATAAAAAATGAAAGTATTTTCCAAATTTGATCAAAATATGTTCATAAACAAGCAAACTACAACAGTTGACTTATTGTCCATAAGAATAAATTTACATTTTTTTGGAATTTTCTCCGTAACCATTAGGCGCACAACAACGCTTCAATATACTAAATTATTTGCTTTTTATGCTCTACAAAATGGTTTGGAAAGAAATTGTAAAATTTTGTGTTTTTAGGGTTAAAAATGGGAGAAACCTATTTCTACCCCATAAAACCCCATATAAAACCCCGTTCCCATAGTCCGATCATGCTGATTCGCGAACTCGTTCGAATAAATGTAGGTTTACACGTTTATACCAAATTTCATCAAAATCGGATCATTTTTGCTCGAGTTATCGCGCTAACGGACACATATGTATATATGAATTTGAACGGATGGTGTTTTTGGCCTCTAGGAACCTTAAAACGAAAAAGTAAATCGGTCCCGGGTCCAGGTCTTACCATGAGTACTACGGTAATAGCTTATTCCCTATATGGGAAATTCACTAAAACCTATCAAGTAATTGTAATCATACAAATAAATAAGAAAAACATAACAAGAAGAAGGGCCAGTAACAAATACAATGACATTAATGTGATGTATGCGTTATGTCTAAGAATAAGCCTTTGAAATTAAAAACCCGATTTCCTGAGATATGAAACTGCATGTTTAAAAGGACTGAAGAGTATTTTATCATCCAAATAAAACAGTGTTTTGAGACTTGTCAATTTATGCTTGCCTTAGTCCAGTAAACATTGAATAATCTTGATGAAGTAAGTCTTCGGGTACCGGTAGTGAGAAAGCTCTCATCAACTAAAATCATATCCCTTCTAGATAGTTCATGCATTTCTACATAAACTCGAGTCACCGGCGAGTTATTTTTATATTATAGGCTGTAGAATTTCGGTAGCGTGTGTGGAGTGGATGGAGTGGACTGTATTTATAAAATAAGCGGAGTTTGATTCTTCATGACACAAATTACAAACACTGAGAAACAATTGACAAATAGTTTTAATATAACAAATAAACTTTGAGTAATTTTACAGAGCTACAAAAAAGATTAACATTACAAAAGAGAGAGAGGGATCTTCATGCTTGATGTTTTGTTTTCAACTAACAAAATTACTATTTCATTGTTAAAATCACATGTTGTTTTTAAACATTAAACAGGTAAAAAAATCAATGCCATCCGTCTTTATTTTTAGATGAAAGAAAGCATTATTATAACAAAGTTATAATTATACTGAATATTACAGAACATACCCCCGCCCGTGAACCACTAAGAGGGGTTCACCTAATAATCAAGTATTGAGAAAAAATGTATTTTAGAAATGAACATATTTACAATACACTTTTGGTTAACAGTCTAACTTCTGTTCGTTATTCATCATTGATTGGTAGGGGTGAGACTTTAGTTATAGGTCTGGAGAGTGTTCCTGATGACGTTTTTAATTGTACAACTCGTACAAGACCATCTTGCCCTGGGGAAGTTGAAATGACACGTCCCATTCGCCATGAAAGGGGAGGTTGGTTTTGTTCATGCAATAGGACAAGATCTCCAGTTTTGATGTTAGGTTGAGGACTTCTCCATTTCCCTCGTTGTTGCAACGTGTAAAGGTATTCTTGTTGCCATCTTTTCCAAAAACTTTGGGTTAAGGCTTGAACAAACTTCCACCTTGACAATCTGTTTGTTGAGACATCATTCCAGTCAGGTTCGGGAAGAGATAAAAGAGGTCCTCCAATCAGAAAATGACCTGGAGTTAGGCAATTATTTTCGCTGGGGTCAGATGAAAGTGGGGTTAAGGGCCGTGAATTTAGAATTGCTTCGATGCGAGTTGTTAGTGTGATGAACACTTCAAGAGTAAGAATCTGTTCACCTATGACTCTCCGAAGATGGTGTTTGACACTGCGGACAGTTCTCTCCCAAAGGCCACCTTGGTGCGGAGCTGCGGGGGGTAAGAAATGAAATTGAATTTTGTTTTCCATGGAAAACTTACTAATAGCTTCTTGAGTTTCTTTCTGAATAAAGACATTCTTTACGATCTTTTGAACTTCATTAGCGGCTCCTACATAATTTGTTCCGCAGTCCGAGTAGATGTTGCTACATAACCCTCGTCGAGAGACAAATCTTGTCAATGCTGCTAGGTAAGCTTCGGAACTAAGATCCGTAAAAACTTCTAAATGTACAGCCTTGACAGAAAAACAAATGACGATACAAACGTATACTTTAATTGGACAGGACTTCCTTAATTTGCAAGGTTTAACCGAGAATGGACCTAAATAGTCCGTCCCACAGTTGTTGAACACTCTTGAGGGCAGAACTCTTTGTGGAGGAAGATCTCCCATTTTATGAGTGGTGGTCATAGGATTGCATTTAAAGCATCGGATGCACTTGTGAACTCTTCTCTTCTTCGAATAACACTTCGAGAAGATAGGATCCAAAACTTCTGAGATATAACGGCTTGTAAAAACTGAGGTCTAGCAAGCAAGTGTTTCAAATGGTAATGATCAACGATGAGATTGGTGACATGGTTAGTTTTGGGAGAGACAATAGGGTGCTTTGCAGCGTAGGATATTTAAGAGTGCTTAAGGTGGCCTCCAACACGAATCAATC